TTGTGCCTTGTGCGCCGGCGAGGAGTGTGTGTGAGAATTGTGGGAATTAGATTTCTGACCCCTACTACGAGCAAGGCTCGTTTAATTTATAGACAAATAGACAAAGATTCAGGTAAGTTAACTGTTTCTGACGTGCCCCGGAAGTGCATAACCGTTCTAAACTTCCACATCGTGGCTTATTCCCGGGTACGTCTTTGGATGATTCGTGGAACTGCTCACTAACTTCCCTAAACCGTTCTGCAGCCTTTGACACTTATCCCATGCTACTTCGACCACTCTTAGATCGTGTCTCCATTAAGTTCTTCATTCTGAGAGGTTACGAAGTGTATTCGTGTATGTCCAGATTCTTGGGATTTCGAGTAATCAACGAAAATTATATTTGAATGTTTCTTGATTTTTGCTTGTACCTTGAGGGGTTGCTAGGCTGAGTCCTCCTAAATAGCATCCTTCCTGGTGCCATGATTTCAAGAACTTCACGAAAGGTGTCTTCGAGTATCCTCTGATTCTCTTCATTTCTGAGACCTCCTTTGCCATTTTCCAATCAATTTAGATTTCGAGCGCCTCTGTATTTCGAGTGTCTCCGAATTCATTTCCTGGTACTAACAAATGCCCCCTGGAAAACATTTTCTTCGAAGTAACTGAGAACGAATGTTTTTCATGATAAGGCCTTATACCCACGTGCATCTCGTAAGAATTAAATGCCCCTAACAATATTAATTCCAAATCTCTCCTTTTCGTACCTGCTGCAGTGATTATGGCGGCACTGATTCCGCTTCTCTGCGATACGCTGACGCAATTTTTCAAATTTGTCCGTTAGCGAATATTTTCGGTTACCCAAAAATTTGAATTCCCCCTTTTTTGAATTTCACCGCGGGCTTTTACTGCACTTTCGGCCCATTTTGCTCTTTCATATAGCCTTTTACTTCGTCCATTTGAGTACGTTTTACTGTTTTCGAACCCTTACTCATTCATCTCCCTTCGAACTCTTTACCTTTGTCCTACTTCCATGGCCACTTCTATTGCGTCCGCGTCCACGGCTACACCCGCTACTTCGACGGTTTCCCCTACTTTCTTCGTTCCTTTACTGACGGAGAATACAACTATTTCCCATCTGAGTGAAGGGGCTGACCCATTCGTTCCTATTCCTGGCATGGAGGAAGCCAATCTCAAAATCTTCCCATCACAGGTACTTCTCCATTTTTCGCTTTCTAACGGATCAATGCATGTTTTTCTAGGCCCCTTTTCAAATTCGAGCAGGAAGAAACCTCATAATGATTTGCTTCTGGAAGATGATTCTACTCTCCCTTTCGTCTATTCTCCAACTATCAATCTGTCCCTTTTTTCGGACGTCGCGCGAATGTTTCGGGCTTTTCCTCCTCCTAAGGACAAACACATTCAGTGGTTGGAACGTGTTGAGGCCTCGAAGCAATCTATTTGGAAAGAAGCTGGAATTTTTGATTTTGTTCAACTATCGAAGCACGATCTGAACGTTTTTGATCCTCAGATGTTGCTATCTGCCGTTTTCTTCTAGAACAGGGAAACCCGTGCTTTCGAATTTCCTTGTGGTTTTGTCTGCCCAACTCTCTTGGACATTGCTGCCATCACGGGATTGAAACCCTTAGGGGATCGCTATCTTCCTGATATTCTCGAAGAAGAGATTCCGATGACAGAAACTTCAATTGTTTGGGACAAAAAGATGTATTCTGCCTTCGTTAGTGCACATCACGGCGAAGAAGGTACCCCTGTTACTGATTCTGAACACATTGCCTTCTTGCTCTATTGGTTATCTGCTTGCGTCTTTTGCACCCCTTCTCTGCAAGTTCCGAAGTACTATTACGCTCTCGCCCAAGCTTTGCATCTAAAGAAAAAGATTTGCTTGAGCAAGTTGCTACTCGCCTCTTTCTATAACTGTCTCGATGAAGCCTCGAAAAGCTTATTTCGAGAAACTGGCCCTCGCAACCTCACAGGGCCACTTTGGCTTTTGCAATTATGGCTTAATGCCATTTTTGAGAAGAAACTGAAACTCCTTCCTCTCTAGGCCTCCATTCGGTATTCTCTCGAGGGCGCTCACTTGACCGCTTTGACTCCCAAGAAGAAATCTGTTGATGGTTTTTCCCTTTATGTCCAGTCTATTCTTGAGTTCGAGGAGTTCTCGAGTGATCTAGCTCCTTTTATCCGTTCTGATTTGGTAGGGCCTTCCTGGTTAATTGGCAATAATCAGGTAGGGCAGAAATTCCCAGGAGATGGTCGAAATCTGGATGGGATTCCTATCTTGGGATCTCATCTTCACTGGGATGAAACAAAGGGATGTGAGAGTCTATCCCTATCAGCCTCAAATCTTTGCCCATCAATTCGGGCTTTGTCAACTTAGACCAACACCTCTTTTTCCCAAGGACAGAATTGACTCTGATGTTTGTGTAGAGGATGTTGATTATGAAGGGTTTCTGAAGTTCATCCTGACGCCTTCTACTCAATTGAACCTTACCCCTTGTTCTTTCCTTCCTGCATTCTTGGTGTCCAAATGCTACCTTCGATGGTGGTGTGATTATTACACCGACAGGATGTTTTCCTTCAAGGACTTTTCTCGGAGACTTACGAATTCTCCCTTTTCTGTGCAGGGTCCGAAGATTTCAGGTATTTACAATAATCGCAACATTATTTCTCAGTTCGAACTATATTACAAAGTTTGTTACCGCCCCGAAAATATGTTTCAAACTATTTTCGATGCTACTTTATCCCTGACTAGAATGGTACAACGGAACAGCCTTCGAAATAAAGTCATTGATCCTCAGGGTCAAACTATTTTTGCAAAGTTTTGTCCTAAGGACATACCTCCTCTACCTAATGCCCTTTTCGGCCTTGCGAAACATCTTGATTATCCTCCTTGGGTGAAAACCCTTGATCCCTTGTATGAGGATAGTAAGAACATTCCTGTTAAGGATCGAGTGACGAGCACGAGATGTTCTGTGTATGATTTTCCCAGGGATAAACAATGGCCTTTATGTTGGGTTGACAATACGATTGTCTATCCTGGTAATTAAGCTTTGCCTTTTCTTTCTGTGCCAGCTTCGAATTTCACATCTCTACTCATTTTCCTTTTCTTCTTGTTTAGCTGTTGTTGCCCAAAAAGTTCCTCAGCATCCCGAGGATACTCAACACTGCGAGACAGCTTCGGAGGATGACGAAGATGATACTTCGTTGAAGCCTCGAAAAAGAAAGACCCTTTCTGACCGACTTCGGTCTCGTTCGAAGGTAATATGTTTCTTCTTTCCGAATTGTGCTGAATTTATGGCCGCTCATGAATTTGCATTTTGTTTTTTGTAGGAGGTTGAAGTTCCTAAGAAAAAACTTCGTTCGGATTCTCAAAGTGGGCAATCTGTAAGTTATCTTTCTGAGTACACTCGAAATTGCCATTCAAATGTCATACTGACCCTTTCACGTTTTACATTTTGCAGGTTTCCACTACTCGAAGATCCTCTCGAGACAAAGGGAAACAAAAGGCAATTTCGACTAGGTCTATCCCCAGACCTAAAATTCCCACTGAGAAGCTTATGAAGGATGCAATGAAATCCCCTGTCCAGGTAATGCGCTAATTTTCTGGACCTTCCTTACTTTTCTTTTTGACTTGATTTTATCCTCTGTAATGTTTTTCCCTTTTTTTCAGAAAAAGGTAAATTCAGAGGCATCCTAATCTTCCTCTGAGAGCCCTCGAGGTGCCCCCACTTCTCCTACTGCTGCTCCATCTTCTCAAGATGTTATCGAGATTCGCGAATCAGCCTCTCCTCCTGGACATGATGAGGTATGTTCGGTTGACTGTCGAGGTCGCGTTTCTGGGCTTTCTCGAATTCATGCATTGTTACAATGCTATTCATAATAGGTGGTTTCTTCCAATGTTCTTACGGCTACTGTTCCTGTCACCACGCCAACCATTGAACCTTCCCCTCCTGGTCCCATACAAGGTGATGCACCTTCCTTCAATTTCGACACAGGAGTATCCTCTGGACAAGGTAGGTAATCACTTTTTGGACATTGCGGTATTCCATCAAAGAGTATCTTGTCTTACTAAAATATCTTTTTCGTGCAGGTCTAGAGGTAACTTCTGAGGAAAAACAAACTCCTCCTTCTGGTCAACTTGCGAGTTCAACTGATGTTGTCCCTTCTGACACTCTGCTGGCTTCTATTCCTCCAGATGACATAGACCTTATAAGCTTCTTCGATAGCGAAGCTGCCCAAGATGACATTTTTGAGGTCTTGGAAAATTGGACTAGCGGGACTTCGGCTTCGGGGAAGACCCAGGAAACCGTTGCAAGCTTTCAACCGCTATTATCTTCCTTCCGTTCGAAAGCTTATGTGGATCATCTCAATCAAGCTCTCATGGACCCTCAATTCAAACTGGAGGTTGAGCGGATGGTTGATGAGCTAAATGCCCATCCTGATCTTCCCTCAAAGGTAACCGCAGAGCTAAATGAATACGCTCATACCTTTGCTGCAGCCTCCGAATTGCACACGAAGTGGTCCACTGCGAATCAAGAGATAGTCCAGCTCGAGGCTGATACGGAAGAGGATCGCACCAAATTGGAAAAGCTCAAGACTGAACTCCTTTCGATCAAGGACTCCACTTCTCGGATAGTTCCCGAACTGATGAAGCTCAAGCAATTTGAGGAAGATGTGGAGCGTACCCTTGTTTCCCTGCAACGTGAACTTGACTCGATCAAATCCAAACATGCTGCTTTGAAGCTTCAAAGCCAAGAGATCATGATGAAGCAAAAAGGTTTGCGGGATGAAGGGAAAGGCATCTCTCTTCGACTTTCAAAGTCGTTGGATCAAAAGAGAAGATTGGAGGTATTATGTGCTTCGCGGAAGCAAAGTCTCGACCAAGGCTACCAAGCATATGAAGCACTCAAATCCAAATTCTGCAAGTGATCAAAAACCTGATGCCTATTTATAATTTAATGTTTATCCGCTTGTACCTTTATTCCTTATCTCTTTGAACATTCTTCTTAGTACATGCTACTTTCATGGAATTTCTTCAAATATTTTCCGTTGATCACTTTACTTGCATTTCTCGAATTTAACTCTTTGATCAAGTATACATTGTTCGAGTAGAGTCTTTCGATGATGAACGGTCCTTCCCAATTATAGGTCCATTTACCCCGATCTCGAGATTTTTGGTCCATTGGGAGGATGACTTTTAGGACTAAGTCTCCACTCGAAAATTGTTTTCTCTTAACCTTTTTGTTATAAACTCGAGCTATTTTTTCTTTCTGGTGAATGACATTTTGCATGGTTGTCATTCTTTTGTCATCCAGTCGAATTAGTTCATCGTACATTAAATTCCAATAATCCTCGACTGGTAACTCATTTTGCCTTTGCACATGAATGGATTGCAAATTGATATCAATAGGAAAAATTGCTTCGTGACCATACACCAACTTGTATGGCGTAGTTTGGGTGGCATTCCTAGGTGAATTTCTGTAAGCCCACAATATTTGCAGCAATGTTTCATACCAATTTCGAGGTTTCCCCAAAATATGTTTTTTGATCAACGCTATGATCACTTTGTTGGCAGCCTCGACTTGGCCGTTAGCTTGTGCATAGTAGGGTGTCGAAGTAATCATTTTGATTCCTCTCGACTGGGCATACTGGACCACTTTTTGACCTGTGAACACCGTTCCTTGATCTGTAGTTATTGTCTGGGGTATTCCGAATCGAAATATGATATGCTCTTCAATAAAATTTATCACCTCTTTCTGGTCAACTTCTTTTACAGGAATTGCTTCCACCCATTTCGTAAAATAATCGATAACCACGATTATGTACTTATGGATTTTTGCTGATGGAGGATGGATCTGGCCAATTACGTCAATTGCCCAACCTCGAAAAGGCCACGGTTTAACAATCGTATGCAACTCGGTTGCTGGTACTCTATGTATTGGGCCATGTTTCTGGCACTCTTCGCAACCCTTTGCAAACTCGATACAATATTTGAACATGCTTGGCCAAAAATATCCTTTTCTGGACAAAGTCCATTTCATTTTCTCTCCCGCTTGATGGGCACCACAAATCCCTTCATGTACCTCTGCCATGACTATGTAGCTCTCATGATTTCCAAGGCACTTAAACAGAACTCCATCGAAGCCTCTCTTGAACAACTCATTGTTCAATATCACATAATTGAGAGCTCGATATTTAACTTTTCTGTCAGCTTGCAAATTTGGACTTTGCAGATATTCGATTAGCTCTTTCCTCCAATCCTGAATGGTTGAGGTGTCAACGATGAGGCATTCATGTTCGTCACTCAACTTATTCCTTATACAAATAAGAGATTCGAGACATTCCCTGCTTATCTTGTACCCGGAATCAATCTGAGCTAGTTCATTCGCAAATTCGTTCTCGTTACGAGGAATATGTTCTAATTGGACCTCATCAAATGAATTTAACAAATCTGTAGCTCGAGAATTACATTCGAGTAACTTTTCATTCATGCATTTATATTCTCGAGTTAACTGTTTAATCACGAGTTGCGAGTCACCTCGAATGATTATGTTCCTTGCCCCCAAGTCCTTAAGCAATTTTAGCCCAATAATCAATGCTTCGTATTCAGTTTCATTATTCAAGCATTCGGATTTTGTTCTCAATAAGAATTTAGTGGGAATCCCACCCGATGAAATAATCAGTAATTCGATTCCTGCTCCTGACTCGTGTTTCGATCCATCAAAAAATAGTTCCCATGATTTCGTGGTTAAATAATTAACCTGTTCAGTTAAATTCGAGTGATCCACGAGAAAATCAGCGATTACTTTCCCTTTTGTGGCTTTGAGGGGAACAAACGTTAACGAATACTCGGTCAATGCAAGAGCCCATTTCCCAACTCGAGAGTGCAGGATAGGTTTAGATAACATATATTTAATCACATCAATTCGACAGAACACGAATACATCATAAGGTTTAATATAATGCTTCAGCTTTGTACAAGCATAATACAAACTCAGACATAACTTCTCCAAAGGAGTGTATCTGATTTTAGCCTCGACTAACATCCTACCGATGTAATAAATGGCTCTTTCGATACCATTTTCGTCATCTTGCGACAGCATGCCCGCAATGGTCGAATCATTGGCCGAGACATATAATTTTAGCTTTCCTCCTTCAGAGGGTGGCACCATCACTGGAGGGTTGATCAAATAATTCTTGATCTCCTCGAGTGCCTTTTGATGAATTTCGTCCCATCGAAATTCTTCCTCCCTTTTCAAAGACTGTAACTCCTTCTTATTCGAAGGAGGCTTAGTTTCCATGATGGCTCGAGTCTTGTTCTTATCTATTTCAATGCCTTTCTGGTGTACGACGAACCCTAGGAAATCCCTCGCTGAAACACCGAAAGCACATTTCAATGGATTCATTTTCAGCCCATGTTTCCTCATTCTCTCGAAAGACAATTCCAGGTGTTGTATATGATCTACTTTTCGTTTCGATCCAATCACTATGTCATCAATATAAACCTGCATGAATTTTTTGATCAAGTCATGAAAAATTAAGCTCATTGCTCTTTGATATGTTGCCCCAGCATTTTTCAAGCTAGAAGGCATTACTACCCATTCGTAAGTTCCCAAGGCACCTGGGCACCTAAAGGCAGTTTTTGACACATCATTTTTAGCAATATAAATCTGGTTGTACCCAGAATATCCATCTAATAAACTTAAAATTTCATTATCTGCGACGGCATCAATCATTGTTTCGGGAAATTAGGAGTACTTGCAATTTGTGTTATATATTCATTTTTGTTAAGTTAAAAATCGATCTTGGATTTCTCAAATTTTAATGATAGCAAACGAAAGATTTTTTTTAAGCAAAGTTAAATATCTATAAAGATATATTAGACGAAATGCAGAAAATATATATCATTTATAAGTTGAAGAAAATCAAACGAAACATACATTCTGTCTCTATGTAGTAAACTTTCAAATGAGACTAACATTAAATTTTATTAAATATTTTATTCCTTAACAGATCAAAAAAGAAAGAAATTTTGGAACTCTCGAAATTTGTTAAAGAAGGAAAAGACAAAATATTCGTCAGAAGCAAAAAGAAAAATCTCAAATATCATGGAAAAGGCTTTACAAAAGACTATTCTATGTTGATTTCAACTACTCTGCACTGCACTGACACTACTTCTACCATACTTATTTTAGAAGAAAATGATGATAATTAGCCTACTAGATCAGATGAGAGATACACTCTTTGCTGAAAGGCATTTAATGCTTGCATTAGATGTATCAACGGTAATTTCTAGGATCAACAAAGAAGATAGACGAAGCAACTCATGAAGCAAATTGTGAGTTCAATTCAAAATTGCCACAATAATCATCTTCTTTGAAATAGCTACTATAAAAGGATCAAGTCTTCAAACAACAAAAAGAAGAAGTGACACATATAGAATGGAAGAGATAGAAGTAATACATGTCTATAAATCTGTATAGAGAAACATACAAAAACACACAGAGTAGAATTTTTTATATTTTATTTTTAAATAAAATATATCAAGACATGAAATATTCCTTTTACACTATTAATTTTATTTTGGAAAACTCTTTTACACAGATATATAAATAAAGAAAATTCAATAATTTATGAGGTTACTTTTTGATGTTATCTAAAAGAAAATGAGTGTTTCTAACAAATAAAAGAAAGTTAATGCAAATTTCACATTTTAATATTCGAGTTTACTTCATTTTAGGTGAATATAGAAATTAACTGATAAAATAATATAGATTAAAATTCAAAAACAAATTTTAACCTGGTTTTTTTAGTATATTCGATTCTTAGCTAGATAGACCTTTTTTCTCTATTACAAAATCAAAATTTCTATGTTCTCCCCCAAGTGTAGGTAGTAGGCACCTCCTTGCTTTTGTACTCATCACTGAGTGAGTGTAAGAACTAAGAACTACCAACTTGGGGAGCACTAATCTTTTCATTATGCACTTAACTTTGCTAGATAATAACTCTTTCGTTCTCTTTTTTCCTTCTCTTATCTTTCACCCTTTTCCTCAAAATCCTTGCATTTTTCACGACCCTTTTCTCTTTGTTTCTTCATGTTATATTCTGATTGTGGGGGCATATATCATGCAAGATGAGGTTGTATTAGGCTACTGATAGTAGTTCTTCAAGAGATTCTGGAACAGTCTCTCTTGTTTCTTTTTTATTTTCACAACTTTGTTGGTATATTATTTTTGTTTTTTATTTTGGATTCATGTGGTTGCTTCTATTTTACTTGTTGGATTGATAAAAAGTTGAAAATTTTGTGATTTGGTTGACTTAAATCTGATGGACCAAGCATTAACCATTTAGATTGAAAAATTATTGGTGGTTATATTATACCAAGCTAGGAAAATTGGGATTACTTGGAATTTTTGTTATATATCCATTTCCGATAATATCGTGAGCCTAGCTCATTGAGGTCCAAATTGAAAATTTATTGGTGGTTATATTAAGCTTGGGAAATTAGGAGTACTTGCAATTTGTGTTATATATTCATTTTTGTTAAGTTAAAAATCGATCTTGGATTTCTCAAATTTTAATGATAGCAAACGAAAGATTTTTTTTAAGCAAAGTTAAATATCTATAAAGATATATTAGACGAAATGCAGAAAATATATATCATTTATAAGTTGAAGAAAATCAAACGAAACATACATTCTGTCTCTATGTAGTAAACTTTCAAATGAGACTAACATTAAATTTTATTAAATATTTTATTCCTTAACAGATCAAAAAAGAAAGAAATTTTGGAACTCTCGAAATTTGTTAAAGAAGGAAAAGACAAAATATTCGTCAGAAGCAAAAAGAAAAATCTCAAATATCATGGAAAAGGCTTTACAAAAGACTATTCTATGTTGATTTCAACTACTCTGCACTGCACTGACACTACTTCTACCATACTTATTTTAGAAGAAAATGATGATAATTAGCCTACTAGATCAGATGAGAGATACACTCTTTGCTGAAAGGCATTTAATGCTTGCATTAGATGTATCAACGGTAATTTCTAGGATCAACAAAGAAGATAGACGAAGCAACTCATGAAGCAAATTGTGAGTTCAATTCAAAATTGCCACAATAATCATCTTCTTTGAAATAGCTACTATAAAAGGATCAAGTCTTCAAACAACAAAAAGAAGAAGTGACACATATAGAATGGAAGAGATAGAAGTAATACATGTCTATAAATCTGTATAGAGAAACATACAAAAACACACAGAGTAGAAAAACTAAAAAGAAACATTTTTATTGTAAATCTTGTACATATTTCTTTGTAGATTACTTGTGCTATCATTGTTGATTACATCATGTTTAGAAGAGATGAAAAAATTCTATAATCATCAGATTTCGGCTCTGTGGATAACAAATCCTCTTCGAACATCCCAATAGAAAGTCTTCTTAGCACCCTCTTCCGCCTCCAAGACATCTGGGTCGGTGGCATCGAAAGGCTTAGTTCTCGCGAATGCAGTAATTTGTTGATCCGCAAAATACATTCCCGTCTCATACACTTTCTGATCTACATCCAATACTTCCAAATGTTCGTCATCATTCCAGAAAAATATTTTTTGGTGTACTGTCAAAGGTACTGCCCCCATTCTGTGGATCCATTCTCTTCCTAACAGCACATTAAAGTTAGCTTTCGAGGGAGTGACAATAAACATGGTGGTCCTTCTCACACTACCAATTTGCACATTTAACAATATCATCCCTTCTGGTTGGGACGATTTTCCAGCATAATCAGAAATAAGGATATTGTGAGGTTTCAGATCTGCCAAAGTCTTTCCAAAACGTTTCAGCAATGTCTGTGGGAGTATATTTATAGCAACACCTCCATCCACTAGGACTTTGTTGACTTCAACTCCTTCGATCATGAGGGTCAACAATAAAGGTTTCAGATGGTCCTTCATTTCTGGGGTAGGTGAATCGAACACTGCTGAATTAAACTTTGGAATGACTCGAGATATTTGATTTACCCACACTATTTTTGACTCATAGTTGGGGTCACCGAAGAAATCTTGACGGTGTATGTCTTCCTGTTCATTCACAGATTCCATTGCTTCAGCATATTCGGAAGGTAAGATTGATACCACTCCGCAAATATCTTCGAGAGAGTCCTTGAAACCACTTTCAAAACAGTCCGTGATCAAATCTCCTCATCCTCTGCGAATTTCTTAGATACCCCACTTTCGTAAGGTACAGGAATCGAAAATTGATTACCTTTGTGTCCCTCGAAAGTTGCCTTTCTCATTCTCTGTTGCCTTCTCCATTGAGTCTTGGTAAGGCCATTAAAAGGATATTTAATTCCTCTTCCAGAACCTCCTTGCATGTTTGACCCGAATCGGGGGCCTCCAGAAAATGGGTTTTTCGAGTAGTTCACAATTTGCTTTCCTCGACCCATTCCAACATTGGGCCTTTGTGGAGAAGTCCACTTCCCAATGGGAACATGGGCATTTCGCAGGTATGTATTACCAACTCGTGAGGAGTTGTACATCTCCATCTTTCCGATGGGAGCCATAGGAGCATTGCCTTGTGGCATGTGAACTTGACGCATCACTATGCTAGTGTTTATTTTCGACTTTCCTCGAGCCTTCTCAGCTTTTTAATTTTTCATAATTTCAGATTCCTCGATAGCCTTGGCCGCTGATCTATCGAACACAGCGCTACATCTCGGGCAAAGCATAACTTCCCGATCATCATCTTTCTTCTTCAAAAGGAAATGAAGCAAATTGTCCCCCTCTTTCGGATAAATGGGTTCTTGTTCTTTCACGAACTCATCTAAGAGCTCTTCCAGTTTTTCATCCGTAATAGGTTCGAAAACTTCCTCTTCGTTCACAACCATGTCAACCATATTGATTTCAAGCACATTGATCCCCATAGGGAGAGGTTCCACATATCCTACTTGTGCAGCGAATGGATCAGTATCAACTTTCATTTCTTTCTCCTCGAAAGCCAAGCGTCCCTCAGTAATCGCTTTCTCGATCATGTCCCTAAAACGTACACAATTGTTAGTCCAGTGACCATACATGTTTTGATACTTACAAAATATTTTCCCTTTTCTCTTTTCAAAAGGAGGGATTTTATGATTTTCCGGAAGTATAATTTGCTTATCTTTCAGTAAGATGTCGAATATTTTATCAGCTTTCGTTATGTTGAAACTGTACTATCATGGCTTCATTGCTTATACCCGTGGGTATATAATTACTTTGTCGAACCAACGACCCTTCTTGGCTTGTGCCAACATGCTGGTGAGGATCGTGCATGATAAAGCCCATCCCATTTGGGGCTGCATTATACCCATATGATGATATTTGCATTTGAGGAGTGTGCACAGAATATGGTATTGGCATTTCTACGCTCATGGGCTGGGTACTTCTCCAATTCAGAGGCATCCCCCATGGGTATTCGCGGGTAGCGTTCACCATTTCTTGTGACACATTCAAAAATCCCGCGGAGTTCGGAATATTTACAGGAGGTGGAGACATTGCCCCCCTGGTCTCATTTGGCACATTTTCTTGATTTGTATTCCGATTTTCTCCATTACCATATTCTTCATTAAGCGCATCTCTTCTGCTGGATGTAGACATAGTTCTACCACTTCTAAGTCTCATAAAATTAAACACACAAAACTAGTTCACTTAGTTCGATTAAGCTAACCAAACGAGTCCCACCGGGCGTGCCAATTTGTTTGTGGGGG